TCCAGAGAAAATTCCTATTTTAATTGGTGATGGCCTTGATTCAGCACAGGAGAGTTTAAGAATGTCTAAGTGGGGTGCAGCCACGGCCTTACAGCCTGGAATGGAAGGGTGTGAGTCTCTAAGAATACCATCTGCACCTCCTCTGCCTCCACGTGTAAACTACTTGTAACCAAGTAGAAAAGGATTAAAGGAATTTCTCAGGAACTGCCGATGATTCTTTATCTTAAAAAATCTTTTCTTTCCTTAAAAAAATAAAAATAAGTAAAAATTGAAAAATAAATATAATAAAAAGAGTAAATGCCAGACCATTACTGAATCTTCCCCTAAGAAACAAGGAGGTGGGGGAAGCTCACGTGGTCATCCAATATGGACGTCACTCCCCAAGAAAGCCACTTTTTCACCTCATCTTCGCCATCTTTATCCTTTTTTTCCAGCTAATGACTTAAAGCTTTTACAAATGCATCTGGGATTTCTGTGCACATGTAAAGGGAGAAGGCCAGCTTAAAAACGAGTGCGCATAGTTTTGAGCTGAACTTGACCTTTTGCTGTGTACAGAATAAAAACCCGAGACTGTTTTGGCCTTAAAAATGGCGGAGATGAACCTGAGAAAGAATTGCAGGCTGGTTTCCCAAGGCGATCTAAAGTAGCTCTTTTGAAATTTCCCGCCCTGAGGCAAGTACCACCAGGAAGTTGATAGTCAAGCTTACATGTGAATAGCTATGGTTTTGCTTCTTGACTTCCCCAGCAGGAAAATTGTGACCATTTTTAAGTTCAAATCATCGAAAAGTATTGAGATTTATAATATTGAAATGTTGATCTGAGTATGCCTAGTATGAAGTCTAGATGATAGAAGTTAATCTATTAATTGAAAATGCCTTATATTTTATTTGAAATGTATCCTTAAATGTAAAAGTCTCTTTTTTTGCCATTAAAAAAGTTTAAAGTAATTTTTATTAAGAAATTAAATAAATTAAAAAAAAAAAAAATAGAAAAAAAAGAAAAAAAAAAAATTTAAAAAATAAGTAAGATAAAAGCCCAGATGATAAAAATGACTTTTCCAAAATTTAAGGGGCAAGGCTAGTTAGTGGCAATCCCAAATTAGGACATGGACATTTGGACTCTACTTGGGTTTCTTTCCTCCATAGAATCTTGGCTGATTGGATAAGATCACCCTCTGAGACACCTCGGTTTAAAAATGTTGATGGGGTTAGAGCTATTAAACCTAAAGTCCATAGGTGTGGTGTGAAGTTGGTAAGTAGATGGCCGGGGACAGGATAGGGAAGATAAGCTCTCTCTGCACACCCTCTTCCTGTTTAGTGCATATATTACCTATTTGCAAAAACCAGTGTTGTAAAGGGCTCTGATTCAAACATGTATTGATCACTAAGCATGAGCCACGCAGTATTAGATGTTGATGATATAAAGATGGGTAAGACCTGCTACCTGCGTTCAAGCGACTCATACTGTATTGAAGAAACAGGACCCATAAGAACCAACAAAGATGTAAAAGGACCAAGCAAAAAGTGCTATAAACACAAAGGAAAAAACAATGAATTATGTCTTCTGAGCTAGAAAAAGTTTCAAAGGGGAACATTTAAGATGGACCTAACGGATAAGCATACTCGTCCTGGACAGCAAACAAAGAAAAACAGAAACTTAAAACCTGAGAAGTAACTAGAAAATGAGTGGTAGTTAGATTAAACGGGATATTCATTTATTTATTCAAAATTTTCAGCGCTATTATAGACCAGGCACTGTACTAGGCTCTGCATTTGTTAGTCTGAATGAAACTACCGACATTAAACAAATACTTACCAATAATCAGGATGAGTATTTTGGTAGGAAAAGAAGTATGGGAAATACAAACTCATTTTCTCTTAGAGAACAAAAACTTCTAATGCAGACAGTCCAATAAATGGAAACGTCATTAAAAGTGGTTTTAGTGCAGATTTTACCATGCTCAGAAATGTGGCAACTAGACAATAAAATAAATCCCAGGATCTATGAAAAATGTTTTCGGTCAGTACCCCAATCACAATATAGTGAAGGAGAGGAAAAGGAAAACTGTGATTTATGTGTATTTAAAGGAAAAGTAAATTGGAAGATAAAAACCATATTCATTTTTTATAAGCATTTTTATAAGATTTCAGTCCCTGATTTTCAGTGGCCAGTTTTCACAGCTGTGAAATGTCAATTGGGTAAAACAAAGCCCCCATGACCAGGAAGCCAATGCCCTTTACTGATGATGGGTAAGGAAATGACAGGCTAATAAGATATTGCGCACACACTGTAGGAAATATGTGATGAGTGTTTTTTTAAGATCTTTTGGAATTCTACTTATCTATTTATAATAATAAAAGTGTAACACTCTAATTAGACTGGACAGCCGTCATGTCCACGGCGGCAAGGGCTGAGGCAAAGGTGATTAGGGGCGATGAGGCAGGCAGGCAAGCAGTTAGAAGCGATGAGGCAGGCAGGCAAGTGGTTAGGGGCGATCAGGCAGGCTGGCAAGCGGTTAGGAGCCAGCGGTCCCGGATTGCGAGAGGGATGTCCGACTGCTGGTTAAGGCCCAATCCCTCAGGGATTGGCCCAATCCCACAGGAATCCCTGCGGGATTGGGCCTAAACAGGCAGTTGGACATCCCCCGAGGGGTCCAGGATTGAGAGTGGGTGCAGGCTGGGTTGAGGTCCACCCCTCCTGTACACGAATTTCGTGCACTGGGCCCTCTAGTCTTTTATAAAACTTAGTGTTATTCTCTCACTCCAATAAAGCTGCCTCCTCTGTCTCCAAATAGTCATAGAACTTCATTTCTCACACAGCCTTAGGAGCCTGAGGTTCAGTCTTTTGAGTACATCCAAGGGTAGTTCTGCTTGACTACGGAAAGTAAACCTCAATTTTGAACATAGAGATAATAATTAAGAAATTACTTCAAATCAAGGCTGGAGAATAAGATGGATGAACCAAAATGGACAGTAAACACCAATGAGGCCGGTGCAAGGCAGAATTCCCACCCCTGCCTCCAAGGTATGCACCCTGTGTAAGCCCTTCCCATCAGCATGAGCATAAGTTGTCAACATGATGGGATTTCTTTCCCATGATTAGGTTACCAATCAGCCAACTAAGTTAATCAAATGGTTTGGAATGACCATGGGTGGGCCTGACCTTATCAGGTGAGAGCTAAAGCCAACTAACTACATTAAAACCACGTCTTATTCCAGAAAGCCTCATGGAACAAGTGCTTAAAAAGCACTGATTCTAATTTATTCAAATCATCTAGTACCTTGACACAGAGCTGCCTTTCACAGACCTGTGACTACGAAGCTTCAGGAAACCCAGGAGGCATCAGGCAGTAGTGATTTTGCCTCTAAAGCAGGTAAAAGGCAAAGTCTGGTCCCAGCCATGGCTCTGATCGCACATGCCCTCCCACCCCGCTCACTGCAGCAAAACCGCTCTGTTGTATGCCAAACACAGTGAGTATATTCCTGACTCTGCCCAGAACGCTTTCCCCAGCTACCCGCCCACATGGCCCTACCCTTCTTTCAGATCACGTCAGTCAGGCCTTCCCTGACCATGGATTTGATGAACAGCCGCCCGCCTGCCGGACTCAGGTACTCACTACTCCAGGGCACAGTGCTGGAGGGTGTGCCTGGCTCTTGGGCACTGGTTTAACCTCTGAGCTTTTGTTCCCGTCTGTACGGGGGACTGACAGCTACACTGTAGAACTGCTGTGAGGTCAGCCAGAGCGAGAGCGAGAGCTCAACGTGCTTAGAAGAATGTTTGGAGCTGACAGCAGTGCACGTGCGCTCGAAGGATCAGGATCTGAAGGAGGGAGACCAGCAGAGGCTGGCGAAGCTCCAGGAAGAGATGAGACCAGCCCTGAGCACAATTCTTACTCCGTGGGCAGCTACTGGACAGGCAGAGAGAGACAACCAAGGGATCCGGAGAGGAAACTCTACAGGCTGCTGGCAGGATGATATCAGGGGCAAGGAGGACAGCCTGGCTGTTTCTGGAAGCACATGTTGGGGGTACAGGATAGAATGATGAGAATGGAGTGGCCAAGGTCTGAATGCCAGGCTGAGGACAGGACTCTGGGCTTCAGTCCATAGGAAGCGGGGAGGCTGCTGAACACAGGACAATGAGGAAAATCCGTGTGAGCAAAAGACGAATGGTCATGGACAACTAGGACAGGTGGCCTCGGAAGAGGACAACCATGTGACGGGACAGCAGAGAGGTGACCATTTCAGAAGGCCAGGTGATAAATATCTACCCTGGTAATTTCAGGGGTGAGAAAAGCAAAGTCTGAGACATTTCAAGGATGAATAGGCTTTGATGGATATTTCCAAAGCACCCACCTGCCCACCGCAACCACAGAACAGATCTCTTCCTGGCGTCAACACTTCTGTGTCTGTTTTCCGACATCCCTGAAATTGTGAGCATCTCAGACCCACTATGTAAATCCTACTGTTTCATCTGCGTGTCCAACACCCCCAGGAAGGACCGCAGTAAGTGCTGCAGATTCTCAAAGGAAGGAACAGGGAAAGAACACAGTGGGCTTGCAGCCTGACGAGAGTGGGCAGCTGCCACTAAAGCAGAGGGATGCTGGGAAAGAAATCTGCCAGACAGATGAGCTCAGTTTGGGATGTTCTGACTTTGAGATAAGGGGCAAACCACCAAAAAGTAAAATGAAAAATAAATGAAAAAGAAAAAGAAGGGAGTTGCTGGTAGATGTCACTTACATTGGGGGTTCTAAGATGTTCTGTTATTTGAGTTACGTCTCTCAGGGGTCCTTTGATAATGCTGGGATGCTATGTAGGTAGATCAGGCCATGACTGCATTCTCTACAAAGGGATTAGTTATGGGCCTCCTTTAAATAAGGCTCATGTAAGACACACACACACACACACAGCAAAAACTAATGACAATTCATAAAATCACCTTTTGGAAACCATTCAGAGCAGGAAATACAAAATCCCTACCATCAGGAATGTAAGGACTTTTACCTTGTGACAAGGAACCACGCGATCTGACTGAAGTCTGGAGAGGGTCTCATGTATGTCTTGATATGTGGCATGGCGTTGCTGCGGCCAGATGTCTCAGCCGACCATTTGCTAGTGACAGGAAAGACACAATCACTGATAAGAAAATACAAATCGGTCATCCTCCTAATATTAGCAAACAGCATGAAAAGCAGATTCTTATTATCTAAAAACCAGAGCACACAGTTCTCTTCGATATGACCTGTGGTATCTTCTTAAACTCTATTCAGACAGCAGAATAATGCATGTTCATTTTAGAGTGCAGGTATGTAGACAAAAAATGTACCTCCACTCACAAAAAGCATCTCTTGGCACCTGACACTCCTGGCTTCTATGCCATGAATACCCACATGCATCAAAAACTGTTGTGCTTTTAGCAGCATGTCTTCACATTTTGTCTCCTAGCTGGACTGTTTCTAAAAGTTCGAACTGTGCTTCCACACACATTACTGAGTAGAGGATCAGTAAAAGTTTGCGGATAAAACAAAATACAAAATGGGAAAAATACCAACAATATGAATATCACAATGGAAAGTTGAAAAGCAGGAGGATAAGTCAGAAATACTTTAGTCAGATGCTGATATTTGCATATCTTGCATTTGGTTTCTAAGTTTCCAACATTATAGGACTCAGGGGCCATGGGGAAAAATGACTTGTACCTCGAGGCGACAACTCTTATCAGAGGAAGGGCCTCGAGAGAACAGACTGTCTGCAGAGACCGATCAAGATTAGGCCCATCATCAGATGATGCAATGCACTGGAAGGCAGACAATACTGGGAGGAGCTCCATCTGAAGAAACACCCTCTGGAAGGAACCACCTCCCGAGAAAGCATTAAAGAAAGGCTCCTGATGGCATCCCGGGTTAGACTGAAAGCTCCTGGGATGCAAACTGCCTTCGTTTCTGGCTGTCCAGCAAAACAGTGGCCTGGAACTGGGACCAGCCTGGAGCAGGCAGATGTGTGACTACTGCAGCGAGGACAGAAGGCAGTCATTTCACTCGTCCATTCAACCTCGGACTGAACTCTCACAACGAGCCAAATGCCACCCCACATGCTGGTGAGGATTCCACCCTCAGCAAGCTTGCAGGCACGCAGGGTAAGACTATGCAGAGAGAACGATTGTATTTTACATACTGGAAACATGAACTAAAAGGTACTAATGTAAATTCTAAACTACTCAACATGTTCTTTTATTTATCGTTTTCTTTATGTGCCCATATATAAATAGAAATGCCACAGAGATAAATTTTACTCTTTGGTATTAAAAACCTATTCCAAAAGATAAAGTTCAAAACCTTGTTTAAAATGCTTTCTATCACTAACATATGTAGCTGAGCTATATTATGTAAGGTTCTCTAAATAACACTCTTGTTCCTAAAGCAGCAACAGCAGCATTCTCAGCCAATTACTTACTGGAAGTAGGCATGAAGCCAGTTCTGCTTTTCCGCTGTCTGGATGCTATAGGGAAGAGAGCCCCCGGCTTTTGAAAGAAGAAAAATAAAGCAAATAATAAAACAGATGCAACATAATTTGAGGATTCTTCATTAAAAGTATAATAAACAAAATCTATAGTAAACAACAGTGAGGAAGTTAAAGGGGAGAAAAACAAAACTGCTTCCATTATTTCATCTTAGAAAACACTTCCTGGACAGGAAATGTCTGCACTTGTACTAGCTGTGTCCTCTCAGTGGGCTTCCATTCTGAGGGATGCGTATTAAATGCAAGTGTTTACTATCTGCAAAGGAAAGGGGTTTCGGATGCTCATTTAATATCTGCAATAGCACAGATCTGAAGTGTTAGGAAGAATCCTGGCCCAAACTGCCATCCTCATGAGGGCGAGACATCCTTAGCCTCCTTCTGCAAGATGAGGTGTGGAGCGCCTCTGTTTCAGCCTCCGACCAGGACAGTTGGGGCAGACTAGGATGAGAGCTCCTAGAACTTGAGAGAAAGATTAGAGCCAGGCATGTTGGATCTGTTCTGAAAGGGCACAGAGCAGTAGGGGCAGCTGGTTTCATCTGGATGACTTGCCTGGACAGCCAATCTGTTGGTGGCAGAGGCTAGAGCAGCCTTATTGGTAGAAACGAGATGAGCAATCATTCGGAGGGTGACTGTGAGGGTTAAATAACATCCACAACCTGCCACCTGCACCATCCTTGGAACATAACTAGGGCTCAATGTTACCCGTGTTCACGATTCTTACCCAGTTAAGAGAAACATCATCTCCGATTTCCTAACCCATACTTTTCTCATCCCAAGGGGGATGAGAAAATTCTTATTTCTTGTTTTTAAAAGTTTGCCAGGGCATTTGTGAAATATACACAAAAAATACAATTGTGGCAGGCTTCCCAACAGTTACCTGGATACCCTTCTAAGCTGGTCCGCACGTTTTCCACAGAAGGATAGATCTAAAAAGAAATACGAAAAATTCCCAATGACACTTGGAAGGTACCATGCTGAAGAAACTATTTGTTAAAAGAATTGCTGATTGGTTTTTAAGAAAATGAAATCTCAATTAAAAATACTGAGAGGCTTATAAAACGTGCTCTAAATTTTAAAAAGTTCCCATCTTACAGGAAAAAAACCAGAATTTCTGGTAATTAATCCTATATAATAAAAAGCTAATATGCAAATCAACCAAACAGTGGAAAGACCGGTCACTATGATGCGCACTGACCACCAGGGGGCAGATGCTCAATGCAGGAGTTGTCCCCTGGTGGTCAGTGTGCTCCCACAGGGGGAGCACCGCTCAGCCAGAGCCAGGTTCATGGCTGGCGAGCGCAGCGGCGGTGGCAGGAGCCTCTCCCGCCTCTGTGGCAGCACTAAGGATGTTCGACTGATGGCTCCGGACTGCGAGACGGCGCAGGCCGGGCTGAGAGACCCCCCAGCCCCCTCCCCGAGTGCACGAATTGTGCACCAGGCCTCTAGTTTGATGATAAAAAAGCACACTTTCATTGGAGTTTTTCCTCTGACATGTCACAGTAACACTGAATTAAATGCAAAATTAACTATTAACTCAAAGATGCCTAAGTAAATAATAATGCTCGTAATTCTGCAGGTGATGCCTTTCCAACATCTCTTCCTGGGCTTGACAACCTGGAAGGGATGACCAGTGCTTGCTGGTGGCTGACGCGGAGCTTTAGCCGAACCACACACACCAGCACCCCGGATAAGAGGGCCACTCGATTACAAATACCACCATTTCCATCCCAACCCACTGAACCAAACCCTCCGTCTGAGGAGGACTGACTGCCCACTGACTCCTCGCCTGGACGAGAGAATACAGACGAGGGACGCGGGAGGAGGAGCACTCACCAGATGGAGGGGAGCAGCGCTTTTCCCGGGGGCCCTGCTTTCCTTCCCCAGGGTCACCAAGGTCTCTTTGAATTCAGCACACAACCATTTGGATTCGTCAGCCCCCATGGAGCCAATGCTTGAGAACTGGCCGACGACGGGCCAAGCCTCGGCCTTAGGTATGGACGAGGCGTGCTCTTTCAGGACCTGTGAATGGGTGATGGTGAAAGCCACAGTCAGGACCTGAACCCAGGTGTGGGCATCTGCCTGCAACGCGATGCACTTAGCCAGAGCACTCTACCTCTCTCGGTCAGGACCCAGTCAAGGCACATGCCCGGGTGGCGGGCTCAACCCCCAGTAGGAGGTGAGCAGGAGGCAGCTGATTGATGATTCTCACTCATCACTGATGTTTTATCTCTCTCCCTCTCCCTTCCTCTATGAAATCAATAAAAAAATACTAAAAAAAAAAAAAAAGACATAAAGATGTTGGCTGTGAGATCCTGCCTGCTTTCGCTGTAGTCTCAGTTAAAAAAAAAAAACACTAAAATTTTCATTAACCAAGGGGAATTCTTACATAACATAAATAATTAATGGAAAAAGAGGTAAGGCTTTTAACAAAGACATTTTAGGGACATTATATTATTACTAGAGACCCGAAGAGTAGGCCTTCCTCCATCCCCCCCCACCCCCAGCCAGGACCGGCTTCCCTCTGGCACCCAGGACCTGGGCTTCCCTTGCAGCCCCGGCTTCATCTGGAAGGATGTCTGGTCTAATTAGCATATTACGCTTTTATTATTATAGAAGGTCAGTAAACTGTTTTCTAAAAAGCAATAAAGAAGATATTAATCTTCAACTTGCTGGTTGTTTCATTTTGTTAAAGACCTTTCTATGTTCATTTTCATACCAGCAGCAAATGTGATTTTTGTAGTAACAATTCTCTTAAGGACACTGGTTTGGTAAACAAAATATATTATAGCTAATTGTTATAGCCTCTACTCAACACTACATTCTGCTTTGTTAAATTTGTATGTTAAAAGTTCTCGTATGCTGATCAAGTGCTACAAAATGGAATCTCTGATTATCTCTGTTACAAGATATATAACTAAAAGTCCATCTAGAATAATCTACAGCTATAGAACAGGCATAACAACACTTTAAAAATTACTGAAAACTATCAGGCAATCAATTTATCATGTGCCTACTATTTGCCCCGAATTGTGCTAGATATATTGTAATGCTGCCATTACAACATACAATTATAAATAAAGAGGGAGATAACCCTGATAAAACCAATTATTTTGATGGTGAAATAAATAAATGAATAAATAAATAGGGAGATAATACACATTAAATTAAAAAAAAAGTTAAAATAGTAAAAATTCTGTTACCTTCCGAAGCCTAAAGTGCCCCCAGTTATCTTTCTGATTTCCTTGGAAGCGTCCTGGGGTTGATCCAATGAGGTAAACGCTACAGAGATATAAGATGTAAATTATAGAACGTAGTGATGTGATTTATGGACCCCAAGTCACAAAATACACATAAAGTGTCCCAAGAGCCAACCCATTTTCTCGGGCTGCTTCCTCAGAGAAGTAGCTGATACTGAAACTCATCGTCAAGCACAGCCACTAGTGGTGGAGCACCTGCAAGGGGCAGGGGCCAGGCCAAGAGCCGCTCACTTGCAGAGTGACCCAGCAGGAGGCCGAGGGTGCATGGGAAGAGTCCCTGCCTCCCTTTAGGGGCAGAGAACCAGGAGACGCACAGCGACAACCTCCTCTTTCATCATGTCATGAAGGGCGGCCGACGCACTCAGCCTCCTTCCAAGACCATGCGTTCCAGACCCCGTGTGGCTCTCAGGCATCACCTGCCGTGAGCACCCGAACCGCGAAGATGGCACGTACTTGGTTTCGGAGAGATCGTGGGCGTGGATGACATCTACCCACTCCTGGAGGGGAGGAGCGTTATAGGCCATCAGGTAGCTGATGAGATCGGCTTTGAAATGTGTTGTCGACTCTCCAGACCCATGGGTGCCATGGGCCATTCGTGGGTACAAGGGGCTCACCCACATTCTGGAATGGGAGAGAAATGCCTATTAACCGTCGGGAAGGCCACTGGTCACAGGGCCTCTCTGCATTGACTCTGCACTCACCCTGAGGAGGAGGGGAATCCTCACCGCGCCTCCACCAGGTGAGCAGAGACCCTTACGAAACATCAATCTGACCGTGCCACTCGGACAGCTTCCATCACATTCAGAATTATTTTTGAAGACCTCACTGTGATTTAGACCCAGCAAGATCTAGCCTCTGCCACCTCTCCCAATCCAATCCCCGCTCCATGCTCCCTCTCATCCAGTCACCACACCTTCTTCCCACGCCTTACATACTGCTTCCTGAGGCGTGATGACAACAGTCAATAGTTTTAATCTCAACTGTTATAGCAAACCCACACCACCTGTAGTAACCCCAGCAAGACTGTGCCCATGACTATCTCAATGTGGCTCTTCAGTCAAACGGAAAAGAGTAACAGTTATACTGAGAAAAACGTACAAACAAATCTACTTTCAATAAGCAAACACATCGTGACGTATATGCTACAGTAGTTTGGGGGTATTTTTATAACATACACATTCCTGGCGCCTGGAATGAGCATATACCACATTTAATGATATTAGATGAACACAAACCTTAGACTTTCAAAGACACCTTTCATTTCATTAATCCTTTTCCCCCCAAAGAAAACAGGGTGGTGTTGGGTGAGAGCCATGATGTATGATGACTTTCTAAACCAGATGCTGAGGTGTGAGGCATTTTTCACACTTCCCAAAATAAGATGAGAAAATGGTCACAGGGCAAATAAGTTTAAAAGTGAGAAGTTAAACGGTGGACCAAGGGCGGCTGCAAAGGATAGCAGGGACACCTGCATACAGCAAAGGGGCCGCAGGGCCTTGAGGAAGGGGACACATGATAACTGCCTTTAAATGTCTTTCTTAACAGATGACAACGCACTGCATGAGACTGCAGAGTCTTGGGAGGAGAACCTGGACTAACCCAAGATAACAGTGCCCGATCTGGGTGGCGAGAGGGAAGCTGCAGGGAGTTCCACACCCTTGTTACTTTTTGAGTTTTAAACCATGTAAAGCTACTGCCCAGCCAATGATGTTTTTAAATGAAGGAATAAAAATGGGGCATGGGCTCAGTCAGCTAATACATCTCACGTTAGGGGTTCTAGCACAGGTTGGGCAATGAACTGTGGCAAGGTCTGTGGGGGAGAATGACAGTGAATACTTGAACCCCAAAATGCTGCTAGAGGAATGCCTGAGTTTCTTCTAACACAGAAGGCTGTTAACCTCCAGAAGGCAAAGATATACAACATGGCTAAAATGAAAGAAAGGCAAGTTACAGCTAGTCACCACGAAGGTCTGACCTGGAGGGAGAACAATGGTTAAAATTTGATTTGGGCTAATCCCTAAAACTAAACCCAAACCCCTCTTGAGAAAAGATGAAAAGCTAGACCCGGCATCCATGCACAAGGACAAAGGGTCGGCGATATAAACTAAGCCTGAACCATCCCACGCTGGATTCTCTGAGATTCACAACCCCATGAGACACACCTGTGCAGATGTGTTTCATGGGAAGCTACAGGGATTGGGGGCGGGGGATTTTTAGCACTTGACTAACCCCCAAGTTTTCCTCTGATGCCCCCTGGGAAGTGGCAAGCCTGCGTACAAGTGGGAGCAGGGGGAAGTGGAGACCAGAAGGCTATCCATTGGGTCTTACTGGAAAAATAATGGGCTCAGAACTTGCACTTTGCATCCCCTTTCCTGCCTCGAATACTTGGATGGACTGGGCTGGAGTGTGTGTACGATCCCATTTTATAAAAAACGAAAAAACCTACCCGTGTGTAGATATTGATCTGTGTGTACATCTATGATAGAGACAGACATGGATGATTATGCTAAACTGTTAACTCTGGTTGCCTCAAGAGAGAGAAATTGGGGGAGAGATACTAAAGAATGCTATCCTTTTTCTCTGCATGTGTATTTTTTCTATGCCGTGTGTGGGATTTTTACAATTAAAAACATAGAAAAACAAAAGAATAAAGCAAATGTTCTGGCTTTTGCCCTGTCTTCGCACACACAGTCACTGCCGTAAAGCGAACGGAAGCTACGCACCCTTGCGTTTTCTGGTGCCAGTCTTCACGGATGAGGTTGGAGGTGTGTATGACCACCCGGAGGCCTTCTTCGTATAGCAGGAGCATCATTTTCCTTTAAAAACAGAAAAGGCATCAGAAGGCATTAACATTACTTTCAAAAAATGTAATATCTTTCTAATGCAAATGTAATAGCTAAAGGAATTCTTCAAACTCTTATATTACCCAAACTTTTAACAACTCTAATCCTCCTTTCTTCTACACATTATCAAAGTCTGCTTCAGTGGTAGGTAGAAAACTACCTCCCAAAATGCTCTGAGTACTTGGTGGCCCTTATTATCTATTCAGCATCATCTGTTCCTATTAGGGACAATAGGAACCTTCTTGTCCAATGTTTTTTTATTTTTTTAAAATATATTTCATTGATTTTTTACAGCGAGGAAGGGAGAGGGATAGAAAGTTAGAAACATCGATGAGAGAGAAACATTGATCAGCTGCCTCCTGCACACCCCCCACTGGGGGTGTGCCCACAACCAAGGCATATGCCCTGGACCAGAATCGAACCTGGGACCCTTCAGTCCTCAGGCCGACGCTCTATCCACTGAGCCAAACCAGCTAGGGCTTGTCCAATGTTTTTTAAAGTTTGGCCACAACCTCTTGCTGTGTCATTACTAGCATTTAAAAAAAATTGCAGAAGAATAAATAATAAACTCAACAGTGCATTGCATATATTTAAGTTCAGTATTGGTTCATGAAACTTGTTTTGCCATAAGCATGGATGCATGTGGTAGACTGAAAGGTCAAATGTACTTTTTTTGCTTTTTTAAACATATTTTTATTGATTTCAGAGAGGGAGAGAGAAACATCAATGATGAGAGAGGATCACTGATTGGCTGTCTCCTGCACGCCCCTTCTAGGAATTGAGCCCTCATCCTGGACATGTGCCTTGACTGGAATCAAACCGTGACCTCCTGGTTCATGGGTTGATGATCAACCACTGAGCCACACTGGCTGGGCTCAAAAGTATTTCTTATTGGGGGTCGCAGTTAAAAAGAGTGTGAAAGAGGCTTCACCTTCATGCTCCATAGATGCCACACTTGTCACCAGTGCACCTGGGCTTGAGGTCAGTCTCCCCTTTTTCTTCTCCAGTAACTCAAATCAGTCCTGGTTGAGTCCTCTCTTCCCCACAGGGCTGCCCCAGGCCTCTAGTCATCAGACACACTTCTCTTACTTTAATAACAGTGAGAGGGAGGGAATACTGTATAAATAAGAGCTTTCCAGCTGAAGTTGCAAGACCTAAGCTCCAGTCTCCACCAGGGAGAAGCGAAACGACCCTAAGTCATTCCATGCCCCGAACCTTGTTGGTTTTTTTGTGTGTGTTTTTTACACTTGTAACGTGAAGGATGAAGCCCTTCGTACCTCACAGGGTTGCTGTGAGATGAAGTACAATGTGCACTGAGGTGGGTGTAAAACACTCCCACTCGTCCTTCAGCGCCTTCCTTTCTTTCGTCATCTGCTGTTGGATGGTTTGTAGCTTCCTGCTTGTTTTCTAATTATTTCAGGAATCTAAGCGCTCTCTCTACCCAACCAGAGACTCACTCCTCAAGGCACTAACGCTGCCCTGACTTTTCATTTCTATTGAGGCCAAAATGCTCCTTCATGTTCACTGACGTAAGTCAGTTCACACAGGGGGAAAATAAACAGATGGGTACTGTTTGGACAGGATGGAGTCAGCATAAAATGATGCGGAAAAGAACGTAAGGACAGAGAGTGAGATGCAGCTCCTGCCACACTGAGAACGTGACACGAGCTGGCAAACGGTAAATGAATGCAGAGCTGCAGGAATGACAGCTGGTGGGCCAATCTTCCCATGTATGACATGTGCGCCCTGAAATCTGGGCAAATTTATGTGCAAAGTTACCAAACTAGCAGCTGACTGTCACTAAGAATAAGCCAGCTATGAATCCATGATATGAGTTTTACAAATATTCCCATTAAGCACACTGATCAGGGAAATCAGGTACGAATGTCAGTGAGTCCCGCAAACAGAACCGTGGACAGATCCAGGGAGTCGCTTGCATCCTTTCAGAGATAAAATGGCACATGCCAATCAAGTCACAATTTAAAGTGGATAAAGAGTAAGAAATAGGGTCTCCCTCAAAGAACGCTGACCTGCATGTTGCCTACTGAGTTGTGGGGGCAGCGAGAGGGACACGTCCAAAATCTGCAGCTGTTCCTGTGAAGGGCCCGTGTGCCAGGCACCACCCTAGAGGCTCCCCGGGATGCCAGCCCCCGGTAACCCAGAGCGGGCGCCGTCTCCCACTCCAGCTGCACCGCCTGTGGCTGGGAGACGGTGGTCAGAGAATGAGCCAGAGGAAGAGCTTCTTTGGATCAGACATGCAGATCGTCCTCTCACTGCATGTGGCTTCACCATGCCAGGGGTAGGAGTGGGCGAGGTGTGATCGGGGTGAGGACTGCGGATGGGAGTGGAAAGAGGTCTGCCCTGCCATCCTGTGGTCAGTACGTTAGTTCACCTGGCTCCTGGTAGACAGGGAACTGGATGTGGAGCTGCTCTGGCTCCCTCCTTCCCGCCTCCAATTCTCAGGGCCATGCGAGCTAACTTTGCTCCTAGTTCTGGGGGAACCGCAACGCTTTAGAATTCTAACGCCTTGTGAGAGACATCCTGAAAGTGTACGACATCCTTCAGAGACACGGACAGAGCACGCTTAACGTGCCTCACCGGACTATGGGCTCCTGCAGGACGGCTGCAACAGGTCATTTCCAGCTGCTCTGCACAGAGCCCACACAGGCCTGCTAACGTGAGCACCGTCTCCAAGCCACTTCCTACTTACTGTGGCCACTCCACTCCGCCCCGATGGGGAGGCGGTTTCCGCCCCTTCACCATGAGCTGCAAGGCTTTCCTCCTCTACTGACTCATGTGTTTGTCTTGCCTCTCTGACCAAAAAGCTAAAAGCTGCAAGAACAAAACCCATTATGTCCCAAACTCGTTATATCCCCAGAGCTGTGTCTCAAGAATATGATAGATATTTAATGAATAATTTCTAAAACATTTTATGCCGGAAGCCGGTCCATCCTTGCTGCTTGACACAGTCGCTGCAGGAAAGAAACATCTGCACAGCATATGTTTCAAGGGACCTGGCGTATATAGCATACTGTTCTTAATATGTTTGCTCCCCTTAGCGCTGTGTGTTTTAACCAAGGTCACCTCTCCAAGAAAGGTTGTTTCCCCAGGTAGGAATTTTTCCCTGAAGTCAGGGAGGGGATGCCTCTCCTAGAAAGGTTGTTTCCCCAGGTAGGAATTTTTCCCTGAAGTCAGGGAGGGGATGAAACTCCTTAACTAAGTGCCAGGCGGGTAGTTAATCACTACAAACAATCATGCTTAAGCTACATAATCTTTACTCCCTGGAATGGAGATAAGAAACGCCCTAACCTTTGTAATAGAAATTGACAGGATTAAAATCAACTGCGATAAATACCGATGTAACAAGACAATAAACGGCAGAACTTCGCTGGAGATCCAGACCAGAACTTGGCTGGAGATCCTGGCTGGAGATCCTGGCTAGGCTGCTGATCAACTGAACACTGTCTCCGTGTCCTTCCTTCTTCGCTGACTCCGTCTACACCTTTGGGGACCCCTGGACCTGCTGGGGTTGGACCCCGGCAATTTTAAAAGGAGCAATGGACAGTGATTACAAGATACGAGTTCAATCTCCTACAAGACTGTCATTTTAACAAAATGCAAACTACACATTCTATGTGGTTGGGAAAGGTCCTAATTACTCCCTTAAGCATTTAAGGGTGAATCCAGGGGGGTGGGGGGGAGGAGGAGGAATGAATTTGCCAAGTGGTTTGTGTGTTGGGGAGGGCAGGATGGACCACAGGAAACAATGAGTCCATCGGAGCAGCCAGCAAACAAAAACTCCTGTCCCCAGCACTGGCCCAGGGAAAACTGCTTATCCGCTTGGGGCCTCTGGTCTATGCAATGAAGGCTCAATTGCACATCCGTGTGTCAGACCCTGGCCAGGCCCAGCACACCCAGCCCTCCTGGACAAAGGCACAGGCTCCGTGACTACTTGCTAGCATGTGGAATACAGGGCGACTCTGTCCGCGAAACGCTGACTGCTGGCACAGAAGGCGTGGCCAGTACAGGGGCCTGGCACCGGGGGTCTAGGGAAGATGCTGAGCCGCCTTACACAATGCCATTCTGTGTCCTCTGCCTGAATTAGCATCCCGTGAGCGTAGTGTGACACAAACAACAACTGATCCTGCGGTGCCTGAGTCCACCCTCAACAGCCCTCAGACCTGTCCTCTATTAGACCGCAGCTTCCAATTAGGGATGGTCGGTAAATGCTGCAACATTTACTCAAGAGCATCTAAGAGCAGATAACGTAGGGTCGGTAGGTCTCCTCTACGAAATGGCTCAACTCTTTTAGTTCTGGTTCCTTTTTCTTGAAGCAAACTGGACAATACAGTTTTAAGTGGATAGAGAGAAAGATGAACGTGTGCCCTCATTTCAGGGCACCGTACCATCAGGAAACCGGCGATCACAGAAAGACTCACACTCCCTCCTAGAGATTCCCTTTTGCCCTACAGACAGACGCCTGAAGGAACATGCCGGAAGCCGCCAGCTACCCATTTCCACTGCTGGTCTAGAAGACAGATGAGGCTCGGTCACATTCACGTCACAAATCCTTCCTAGAGAAACGTGCTTTATAAAAAAAGGCTGAAATAGGGACGACCATGTCTAGTCCTTATTCTCATTTGTAGAACCAATTATGTAAAAGGGCTCAGCAGAAACAGCCGCAGGACTAACCTAAAGCAGGAGCCCAGCGGACATCGGCGCAATGTGCCAAGTAGGAAGTAACACAGGTTCCTCCGGTCTGGTTGGCAGACTTCAGAAGAGCATTCTAGAAGAAATTTCTGAGCTGTCTTGAGCAGGGACAGGCATCAGCCTCTTGAGTTGATACTTTTTGTAAAATAGTTGTTTTTTCAATCACAGGATGGAGCTGACCTAACAATATTCTCTATTTGATGCGACTGAGAATCTTATAAAAGACTCTCTTTAACGTAGTGGAATCCACAGTGCGTTACTGACACACATACAGTCACTCATAACCACTGACCACAAACCACAGGATCTATTCTCCTACAGCGAATGTCCTGAACAGAAAAGCGGAAACGGCACCAGGGATTCAGGCTTTTGTGTGGAAAGTATTGTAGCTTCAGGCTGTTAGAAAACAACTCCACTTGCTCCAATTCCTTACTGATAGCATTCCCCCAACATCTCCCCTGCCCCCAGGAAAATCATCACACCGAATTCCTTCAAGGGCCTTTCTGAATAGCATCCTTTGACCTATTAAAGCCATACCCTCTCCCCAGTTCATAAAAATTGCTTACGTGTGGTGTGTTCCAAATGCAATATCCAACTTTGCCTAGGAAGAAAAAGAAGTCACTTATTAAAAAAAACTCAATATCCCCACCTATTGGAAATTAAATTAGAAATGGTTCAGGTCTTTTTTTTTTTAACTGCTATTACTGCCCTCTAGTGGACAAGCTTTTGATAAACAATACAGCTTTTATAATATCCAGTGAGGCTTGTTTTTAAAAACCTTTATTTTTTAAAAAGTTACCCAGAATAATTCAATACTTCCTGCACTTTTAATTATAGTAATTAGAAGTTAAAGAGCCTAATTTCTTTAGTTGTCAAAAACTAATAAAAACAAATGAGACTCTATGCAAAGTTTTAAAATGAGAAATGTGACTTATACAGAAATTAACAAGTGCAAAAAGTTTTCAGCGCGTATTCAAAAAACACTGAGTGTGGTGGCATCAGAAAGACTTGTGTTGTGATGTTAAAACAGAAGTTTTCTTACGTTAGTAACATAACAAGCACTGAAAACAAAGAATATATTAAATCCATTTTCTTGTTACAAAATGATACCTTCACGTATAAATGAGGCATGAGTGGAGAAGTAAACATTTTATCTAACACCCAGCATAGCAAGACCTTGGTTAAACAGACTATGCCCCAGATGTAGGCTAGGAGACAGTTAAAATAGAAATGTCAAAATAGCAGTTAGGAACGCAAAAATCCTAGCTTCACAACTTTGCATGACTTTGAAAAATATTTAAATCTCCGTGCTTCATCTTACTGCTCTTTCAAATGATGGTGCTGTTAGGGGATTCTGTGTTGTTAGGAGTAAGTGAGAAAAAGTGTTTCAAGCACGTAGGAAAGGGGGCTTGTGCTGGCAGTACTGCTACAAGCCCCGCCCACCAGCCACAGGACAGGTGGGTGGATCCGTTTGCTGGAGGCAGTAAAGCAACTGAACACACAGCGTAGGGCACAGGCCCTGTCCTGGAGATGCTCATGGACAGGTGGCCCGTCACTATCCTCTCACACTCAGCACGTGGGGTGCTCACAGCCCAGCATGCATTTGTCTGGACACAGAAGAGAGAACAGGGAACTGTATTTGATGTCTTTAAAATTACAAAACTGGAATGAAGACTGCCACACTGTAAATTGATATTTAGCTGGGAAAAGGCAATGGTCAAGAGACTTGGCTTTTGAGTTCAGTTTTGTTATAAGTTGTTTGATTTGGGGCAAGTCTAAGCACAAAATCAAGATTGATAGTAACTTCAACAGATAATATTTAATGGGCGCTTTTTGGTGCACATGCACCACTTCCCTGTACAACACCCCAATGAAGAAGAGCATGAGCAGCCCACTTAACCATGGAGGACTGAGGTTCAGCGATGAGCCCGGGATGACACCGTCAGTACGCAGAGAGCTGGGACAGAACCCAGGCCTCAATCTCCGAGCTCTGGCCCCACATGTACAAAACAGAAGTGTTAGCATACACAGATTCTTTGACTGATGTCAACGTCAATAATTCATCTTACAGACAAGGCATAAAGGTATTTCAATAGGCCAGGCTGGGGCCACAAACCTTCTGTACCCCTGACTACATCTGGGAGCTTCTGAACAGCTCTTTGAGCAAGGTTTGAAAGACTGCAGCTCGTCCCGCCCTCTAGTGGCCGGTCTGGAGCACACCATCAGGCACGCCACAATGTCTCCAAAACTTCTCAGGACAAGTAGTCTTTGAAAAACTCAATTTCTTTCTTTTTTTTTTTTTTTTTTGTTTTTGTTTTTTGTTTTTTTTTTTATAATTAAATCTTTATTGTTCAGATTATTACATTTGTTCCTCTTTTTTATCCCCCCATAACTCCCCTCCTCCCAGTTCCCGCCCCACCCTCCGCCCTCACTCCCCACCCACTGTCCTCATCCATAGGTGCAGGATTTTTGTCCAGTCTCTTCCCGCATCTCCCACACCCCTTTCCCCCCCAGGAATAGTCAGTCCATTCCCTTTCTATGTCCCTGATTCTATTATAATCAACAGTTCATTCTGTTCATCAGATTATTTATTCACTTGATTCTTAGATTCACTTGTTGATAGATGCATATTTGTTGTTCATAATTTGTATCTTTACCTTTTTCTTCCTCTTCCTCTTCTTAAAGGATACCTTTCAGCATTTCATATAATCCTGGTTTGGTGGTGATGAACTCCTTTAGCTTTTCCTTATCTGTGAAGCTCTTTATCTGACCTTCAATTCTGAATGATAGCTTTGCTGGATAAAGTAATCTTGGTTGTAGGTTCTTGGTATTCATCACTTTGAATATTTCTTGCCACTCCCTTCTGGCCTGCAAAGTTTCTGTTGAGAAATCAGCTGACAGTCGTATGGGTACTCCCTTGTAGGTAACTGAGTTTCTTTCTCTTGCTGCTTTTAGGATACTCTCTTTGTCTTTTGCTCTTGGCATTTTAATTATGATGTGTCTTGGTGTGGTCCTCTTTGGATTCCTTTTGTTTGGGGTTCTCCGCGCTTCTTGGACCTGTAAGTCCATTTCTTTCACCAGGTGGGGGAAGTTTTCTGTCATTATTTCTTCAAATAGGTTTTCAATATCTTGCTCTCTCTCATCTTCTGGCACCCCTATAATTCTGATGTTGGTACGCTTGAAGCTGTCCCAGAGGCTCCTTACACTATCCTCGCATTTTTGGATTCTTTTTTCATTTTGCTTTTCCGGTTGGGTGTTTTTTGCTTCCTCGCATTTCAAATCATTGACTTGATTCTTGCGCTCCTCTGGTCTGCTGTCGGGAGTCTGTATAATATTCGTTATTTCAGTCCGTGTATGCTTAATTTCTAGTTGGTTCCCCAATATAAGATCGAGGGTTTCATTAGTTTTCTTGTAGATCTCATTAAGTTTATCGGCGGCTTCTAAACAGTTCTTGAGAGACCTTAAAAGTGTGGTTCTTAACTCTATATCTTCCATTGACAATTTTGTCCTGTTTCTTTGTCTCCGCATTTTGTTATGCTTCCTTGGTGCACCCCCTAGTGGTCTTTGTGCACAGTCTTATAGTTAAATCTTGATTGTTGTAGCTAATTCCAGGGAGGGTTTGACCTCCAGGCCAAGTGGCTATGAGAATCAGCTGTGTCAGCAGTGAGAGAACTTCTGTCCTCTAGGGAGGTGCTAATCTAGCCTTTGCCTGAGGCTATCCGGCAAATGCCTCTGTGCAGGGCTTGGGCGGGGCGGGTCGAACAGGATCAACAGGGTGGGCCGGAGAGAGCAGTTATGGCGGCTCTCAGTCCTGTCCCCAGGGGCTCTGCCTCTCTGAGTCCCAGCACCTGCTGCAAAGCTCGGAGAGAAAGCTGCACTCGCTCTGACTGAAGCCAGACAGTCCCGCTTCTCCCGTTTGTCTGGGTCCCTAAAGACTCGCCCGGATCTGGAGCTCAGAGTCTGCGACTCCCTCCTGATTGAAAACGCCAACCACGCCCTCCGCCGCCAGCCCACTCCGCGCACTCCGCACCTCAGAATTTGACTTCAGCACTGCGCCTCCTCTGAGTGTCCGTTTGCGTTTCTCTTTCCTCCTAGTTGTAGGACTTCCACTCAGCCAGCGTTCCTGTGGTTCTGGGTGATGTCCCTTCCGTTTTTTGGTTTCACTTTTGAAGTAGTTGTTCAAGGCAGCAAACTCCGGCGTTAACCTATGCCGCCATCTTGGTTCCTCTCAAAACTCGATTTCTATTGATTTAATCACTGTGTTATTTTTCTTTAGTCTGATGAGAGCTATCCTACTGCAGTTTAACCTCTTCTGCTTGGGAAAGCAAAAGCAAAACAACTGGATTTTAGGCAATGGCTAAGCTAAGGCTTATCTGTGTAGAAATGAGCTACAGATATGCTGGGAAAAGGAATGCTTTCAAATTCCAACTATAGAAAGTACGTGGTTGAATCACAGTGCTGAGACCCAGGTTTTGAGAGGCACGCTGGCTGACTAGTGGCAACCAGAGGAGGACTGGAAGTTGGGGAGAGACAGGGGATCCATGGTACATCCAATACAACTGAACAATGTGAGACAACTAAGGGAGATGTCTTCAAACATAAAAACCACCGACACATGCTAGGGGGAGAATTATTGCATGTGCTCCAGAGGGAAAGATAAGTACCAATGTGTGGAAGTCACAAAGAGGAAGGTTGTGATGGTTAATTTTATGTGTCAACTTATCTAGGCCACAACATCCAGACATTTGGTCAGATGTGGCAGCGAAAGTATTTGTTAGACTAAAACAGATGACCCTTCACAATGTAGGTGGGCCTTATCCAATCAGCTGAAGGCCTCAAGAGAAAAAAAGACCAACTCCTTCAAGGAAGAGAAAATTTGGTCTCCAGGCTGCCTGTGGACTCAAACTGCAACACCTGTTCTTCCCTGGACTTTGGACTTGCCAGCAGCCCCCGTACATACAGAGATGTGTACGTTTCCCTGAAGAACTCTGATACAGAGATATGAGGTCAGCATAAAGAAAAATTTTTCTAACCACAAGGGCTACCTCAGGAAGCATTCAAGCCAAAGCTAGACAATACCTGTGGGGGATGCAGGAGAGAGGATTCCAGCACTCGGCAGGTAGAAAGATGAAATGTCTAAATTTCCTTCCAACTCTCAGACCAAGCATAATGGCAACAGCAGCTTACCTGGCAGAGGGAAACGTTCTGATAAGGCTTGGCCTCGGCGTGCAGGCGAGCCTTAGCTTCTCGCTTGTCGCCATGCACCAGCAGGATCGGCTTCTTCCTGCAGAGGCCAGAAGTATGTGAAATACATCATTCACAGAGCGGGACTCTTGCCTGGTGAGGGAACACCAGCTTCCTTATCACCCCACATGTGGAGACTGAGTCCAGGGCTAACAGGACAGGTCAGTCCATCTTCATTGACCAGTTACCGTTCCAATGGGCTCATGGGGTTCGATCCTGAAGCTCTACTTCGACTCAGAGGGGTTGTGACTCAAGCAAGCCCTTGATTATGAATTATCTTCTTTGGTCCCAAAGGGCACAGAGTTAGCTCTATGTTAATATGTTTAAATTCAGACGGATTAAGGACACAATATTGCTGTTGTATAGTGTGATGCTCTTCTCCTTCCCTGCTGTTGGGACCTTACCAGGCCTACATTCACCAAGCTCCTACTGTGTGCTAGGTACTGCACTAGACTCCCAGGACACAAGAGTGAACAGGCCCAGGTCCACAGCAGCAGGCAGACTCATTAAAGGTGGTTCTATTTCAATGAAACAGAGCCCAAGGTACACTGAAAATGCTGTATTTTTTAATTCCTAAAGGACAACATGAGAATACTCTTCAGGCCTGGCTGGCGTGGCTCAGTGACTGAGTGTTGACCTAGGAACCAGGAGGTCGCAGTTCTATTCCTGGTCAGGGCACATGCCCGGGTTGCGGGCTTGATCCCCAGTGTGGGGTGTGCAGGAGGCAGCCAATCAATGATTCTCTCATCATTGATGTTTCTATCTCTTTCTCTTTTCCCTTCTTCTATGAAATCAATAAAAATATATTTTAAAAAAGAGAATACTCTTCAAGAATAGATTAAAAGGCTTTTAAGGGAACTATGATCTTCTCCAGTTAATTCAAAGTGAGATAATCCTTAGAAGTCAATATACCTTTACAAGCACACCCAACAAAACAAAAATTGGATTTTTATTCAAGGAACAATCAAGCAAGATGAACAAAGGTAGCTACTTCCACATGTATCAATCACGGTGCAGAATGATTCTCTACCATATGTGAAGGGCAACATGCAACTAAAAAGAAACATTATAGAAAATGCACTTCAGGTACAAGCACCTAGCTAACTAATCCCCAAGAACTTTATAACATGTTAGTTCAAATAAAACTAAGAAACCACACCTTCGCAACTTTTTTCTATTTTACAACTAGAAAAACAAGACAGAGAACAAGGTAAGAGGAACTCAAACAGCTACCACCTAGAAATAACTACTGTTATCAGATCATCAGGACTTTCTTAAAAATAAAGAGATTAACCATTACTGACAGAAGTTGAAATCTGCATTAACTCCTTCAAATTTATTGGTTCCATAAACCGTCACAAAAAGGCTGTGATGGTTCATTTTATGTGCCAACTTGACTGGGCCAAGGGGTGTTCATATAAAACATCATTTCTGGGTGTGTCTGTGAGGGTGTTTCTGGATGAGATGGGCCTTTGAATGGGTGGACTCCAATGTGGGGGGCCTCATCCAGTCCACTGGCAGCCCAAAGTAAAAATAAAACGTGGAGGGAGAATTTGTTCTCTCCCTCTTGAGCCAACTGCCCATAATAACTCTCCACATACTGTATCTCCCGTTGGTCTGTTTTTCTGGAAAACCCCTCTATGGCAGTATCTGAATGACGACATAAGGCAGTACAATCTCCAAGATCAGAATTTCTCTCTGTAAATTCCGGATGTTGCCTTAACTTGACATCTAGGTCCTTCCTCCTCCTTACAGCTCCTGATGGCCGGCGTTCCCCAGGAGCACTGAGCAGCGAGTGGGTGTGGGAAGGCAGGACTCTTCTGTCCCCGATCAGTTATGAGAGTCCAGGGGGTACCGGACAAGTTTGTTGGGGGTGGGGGGATTAATAAAGTACCACAAACCCGGGGGCTTAGAAACAGGACTTGTCTCTTGGTTCCGGAAACAAGAAGGCTGAGAGCAAGGTGTCAGCAGGGTTGGTTCCCTGTGGGGCTGGGAGGGAAGGGCCTGCTCCAGGCCTCTCCTAGCTCCTGGCGGTGTTCTCCCTGTGTCTGTGTCCAAATTTCTTTCTTATGAGGACACCAGTCACATTAGAGTAAGACGCCCCTTAATGACCTCATTTTGATTTGATTATCCCCCCAAAAAGCTACTTCCAAATAAGTCACATTCTGAGGGACTGGGGGGGTTGGAACTCCAACAGATCCTTGTTGGGGTGAGACAATTCAACCCGTAACAGATACACAAGGAGTTGTGGTCTATACTTTGGCAACACTTGAAAGTCACACGTGGGGGCAGCAGGACTTGAAGGGTGTGGCAATTCGATTTCAAGGTCTTTGAGAAGCAAAGGGATGAGTAACGAAAAGGTGCTGGTGCAACTAACAGGGACATCTACGGCCAGGAGCCCATGCAGATGGCTCACTGCCTCCTGATGTCCGTTCTCTCCTTTCCTAACAAATCCCGACCGTAGTCAGACAGGGTGTGCTCAGCAAAACCTCATTTACAGCCTCTTTCAGAGCCAGTCATCATCCTGTGACTGCCGCTCAATGAAATATAAGCAGGTGTTCAGTGGGACTTCAGGAAGGCCGCTCAGAGGGGGCCCGGCTGGGATGTGGCCCTCTCATCCTTCTCCCCTTTCTCCTTCCTGCCACCTGGAACACAGACCGGGGATCCGGAGCTCCAGGTGCCATCCTGGTCCGCAAGGTGACTCAGAACTAAAGTCACATGTGGGGGCAGCAGGACAGAAAGACAGAAAGGCTAATTCTCTGAGAACCATGACGGCCCCCAATCCAGGCTCTTAAATGTCTACCTCGTGGAGTTCTTAGGTTGGAAAAATTTTTTCTTTCTTGTTTAAGCTGCTGTTATTTTGGGTTTTCTGTCATATGCAGCTAAAATGAATGCTATGGGTCACAGGCCAAATACAAGCCTTTGAGTGCCAGCGCCCTGGGAAATTTCAATGGCATTTCATCTACTGTTAATGATGATTTCCACCATCTGGTTCCTAAATGAACCCAGGACTCTGAGGACCTGACAATCATTCTTCCTGCGTGCGCATTCCTCGGCCTCACTTGCTGTTACGGAGCCTGCCGTGTAAGTGTGTTAGAAACCAGGATGGCACACATCACTGTGCGATGCTGTTCAGTCTGTATTGCTGGACCCCAGGCTGAGGAACTCCAGGAGACAGACTGAAACCCATCACCTCCATCCGCTGAGTAAGGGAAGGCCCTGGGGCCCCTTTATTAACTCAAACTACAAGGAGAATCATTTAGGAAGTGATTCTCAGAACAGTGTTGATGTGCCAAGTAATGCCTGACACGCTGGCCACGGGTGGGCATGCTCACTGGGCTGGGCAGCGGGGGGAGGGGACAGGGCAGCGCTCTTTTCCTTCACTCTAACACTGGACACAAAGTTCTCTTATGTGGGATGGAAGTTGTCCTGATCTACTTCTGGACAGAGAAATGGAGGAAAATGGTCAAGTCTGTATAAGGAATACAGGTGATTAGCTAGAATAGAAAAAAAAAATGCTGTTTTCCCAATGTTTGTATGATCTGGATGGTTTCAAAAGATGTTCAACGAAGATGGCCGGCAGCTGCCTGAGAAGCACAGATCTTGTGTTTTAATGCCATCTATCGTCCCGGGGACTCACCTGAACTCTTGTGGATACTGTCTTACGAGCCAGTCCACGTCAAAACAGTAGTTAAACTAGATGGGGGGAAAGAAAAGCAAGTCAGTCACGGGGGACTTAGCCAGGCAGTCTATACGGAGAGCTGGGTGGTTATTTGATTGAAAGAAACTCTAAAATAATGATGAACTACATGTTTTATTTATAAGCCCAGACAGTTCTGCCACAATACTCATAAACCAACCTGCGATACGCCTTGAAGGGAACGCATGGCCCAGGGGGGTCTGAATCAATGGAGGAGCCTGTGAGAAAGCAGGTTCGAGGGCAATTATGTCTGCGTGCTTGGCGGCATTTGTATTTGCTATTTCTGAGGGATCTCTGATTAATTTAAACAAAAGGGCTTATAAATGTGTCCCTTTCCCCCTCGGTGATTATAAAAAGGACTTTTAGAAGAGACCATCCGCTTTCAGCCTAACTTAGGAGCTAGCCTTGCAAACAGGCATTTGGGACTGGACGTTCACTAGGCTTATGATTACAGCTGAACCCCCAGGGTCTGCACTGGACTTACCCAGGGGGGCTCCTCCCCACACCTGAGTGGTCCTCCACCCTCCTGGACAGAGTGACTCGACTCCCCCCCCCCCGAGGTTTTATCTGGAGGTCAAGAATTGTGAGGCCAAACCAAACATGAAAGGCGCAGAAAGCTTTGCTTTCTTCAGGGAAGTGACCTTTTTTCCTGACCATTTACTGGACGCTCTGGAGCATTAAAGTGATTTGTCACCACACAGGGACCAGCTCTGTGGGGCAGGAGCAACCACACATGCAGAAAGAAGCAGCCATAACTTTTAGTCACTTTTGTTGGGTAGGTGCAGGAGATGTCTTACTTTTCTCAATCAGACTAGACTTGGCTTTCACCTCTCCACCCACAGCTCTTTGGGGGTCGCACCAGAGTGCCATGAGATTATCAGTGTTCCCAAAACAAGTCCCTGGGGCTGAAATTTTTTTCAAAGTGACTTCTTAGTCAGTCCCTGTGGTCCCATCCAGAGCCAGGAGCCCACTGGTAGTGGCATCCCCCTTCCATCTTGGGGACCCTGCACAGGACTGAGACACCGGTCCCCATCACTCACTCCTATTTTCTCATGAAGCTAATTATCTGTCCCCTTTCATCCAAAAAAACAATCGCAAACTCACCTGTGCTGAAGATACAAGTGTCCCAAATAGAGGAGATAAAATATCTGTGAAGATCAAACATTTAAACATAATTCATATTTTGAAAGACATTCTCTAGCAATAATAATCACAACTGACTTAATCGTCACTGATGCTCAAAAAATTAGCTTAGAAAACTGTGAACTGAAAAATTACTACAAAGCCAGGCTTTAGTTCCCTAACGTTCAAGAGAAAATTTCCCTGCGCTGTTTGCTAATACTTATTATGTATTCTTTAATAAAATACAATGCAAAATTTGCCCTGACTGGTTTGGCTCAGTGGATGGGGCGTTGGCCTGCGGACTGAGGGGTCCCGGGTTTGATTCCGGTCACGGGCATGTGCCTTGGTTGTGGGCACGTCCCTGGTGGGGAGGCGGCTGATCGATGTTTCCCTCTCATTGATGTTTCTGACTCTCTGTCCCTCTCCCTTCCTCTCTGTAAAAAATCAATAAAATATTTTAAAAAGTAAATAAATAAAAAAAATACAATGCAAAATTAAAAGCTACAACGTCGATACTGGATGAGCGGTCAGTTTTAGAAGCTGACAATAAGGACAATAATGATGCATGCTGTCCTTCTTTCCAGATCTCTGAACTTTTACCACCCTCACATACTCCTTCAAGTCCCTACCAAGTAACCTCCCCACCCCAGGACTAACTCACTTTCTGTGAAGGCAAGGACAGAGGCACCCATAGCTCTAAGCTGTGGACACCCTACTGATGCTGTGGAGTTAGCATCAGACCCCACAGGTGAAGGACTCAGTCCTACAGGGCTGCCCCACCTCAGATGCCAATCACAAGTCCAGACCTCCTGTACTTCTGACTGTAACTTGAGGGTTCCCATGATCCCCTCCTCAGGTTCGACAATTTGCTGAAAAGTCTCCCAGAGGTCAGGAAGGAGCTTTGCTTACTAGATTCCTGGTTTATTATAAAAGGATACAACTTGGGAACAGCCAGGCGGAAGAGATACATAGGCTGGAGTGATGAAATCATGGCCATTAGTGATTAACTCAACCTCCAGTCCTGCTCCTCTTCCTGGAGGTGAAGGATGAGGCTGGAAGTCCCAACTCTGGTCACAGGGCTGGTTCACTGGGCAACCAGCCCCATTCTTAGGGGCTTTCCAAAAGTCACCTCATTAACATAAACCCAGGTGTGGCTGAAAGGGGCTTGTTACGAATAACAAAACACACTTCTTTGCCCTTTAATTACTTTGGAGTCACTCCAGGACAAAAACCAAATATAGCCAGGGATGAAGACCAAATATATGTATAGAACAATATGACACACGCACCTCAGGGAATAATCAAAGCAACCATAGGCCATCTTTTGGTTCAGAACGGAAACACCTATTTGCATTCTGGCATTGTCTTTTTGCTTCTTTACCGGAAACCAAAACCAGGGTTCCAAGTAGCAGTTCTCAAACTTGACTGGGCATTCGTATTCCCTATGGAGTTAGTTACAACAGGCTGCAGAGCCTTGCTCCCAGGGAATCCGGATGGGGCCGGGAACATGCATTTATAACAGGTTTTAGGGGATGCTGATACTGCTGATCCAGGGACCAAAGAGAACTGCTGTTGTCAAGTATTTGCTACTTCATTAGTAAAGTGTTACTGATCAAGTTTGATCTGTAAGTTAACAGTTAAAAACAATTTTAAACATTGCACTAAATATTCCAAAGCATTGCTCTACAGGGCCTGAGAAACATCCTCTGATCTCCTAAGTCCGTGGTCGGCACACTGCGGCTCGTGAGCCACATGCGGCTCTTTGGCCCCTTCAGTGTGGCTCTTCCACAAAATACCACGTGCAGGCGCGCACGTACAGCGCGATTGAAACTTCGTGGCCCATGAGCAGAAGTCGGTATTTTGTGGAAGAGCCACACTCAAGGGGCCAAAGAGCCGCATGTGGCTCCCGAGCCGCAGTTTGCCGACCATTGTCTAAGTGAACAGTTTGCTGTCAACTCTCTGCATTTGCTGTCAAATGCTCTTTTTCTGTTTCCTGGGAGTGATTAAGTCCATGATGATCTTGGAGACCATTCTAGCTAACCTTGTGGTTTCACCCGAGGGGCCCTCTCACGTGACTCCGGACACCAGCACCCCGTACTTACCCTTGATGTGGAGGGCTCCGGAGTTATACTTTGGCTTAATTCCTGAGACTCTAGTGAGGTAGAATTGGAAGGGGTTCCCTTTATCCAGCATGTCCCAAATGTCCTGGCCTTCCCCGGACGTTTCGTACTCGTCTTCGTCCTCTGTGAGCGTGGGGCGGGCAGGAGGGCCATGACTTCCAGCCCTTGGGGCGGCACTTTGTGTGGGAGGGGAGACGCCTTTCTCCTCTTTGAGGGCCACTTTCTCAGCCGCCGTCAGCTGCGTCTCTGGTGGCAGCTCATCGTCACTGCTGGAGAGACACCAGCCCAGGTCTTCCTGGGAACCACTCTTGTGCTTCTTGGGAGGTGAAACTTCTGAAACCCCATCTGTGTTGCTGAATTTCAGGGGTGACACCTTCCTCCTGTGGGCGGCTTTCCGAGCCTCGGAACAGGTGTACCTTGGCTCACAGGCTGCTTCCTGCCCAGCATGGAGGAGAGAGGTAGACGGCTTGTCCGGTTTGGGCTTCTCCTCCTCACTTTCATCACTGCTGGATATCGTCCATCTCCCATAATCACCTTCCTGAGACATGATACTTCTGGAAATGAAAGGTGGAAATATCGTTATTTCCCATTCCCCAGGCCACTGGCAAACTACCTCTATTGCTCTTGAACTCCCTGTCCTGTGAGCGGCTGGAACACATACAGCGCACTGACACCTACCAGACGCTGAGCCCCGTAACCAACATCATCATGGACTTAATCACTCCCAGGAAAAAGAAAAAGAGCATTTGACAGCAAATGCAGAGTTGACAGCAAACTGAACAGCTTTGCAGGTGTTCTCAGGCACATTACCAGGATCGGCTATGGAATCTGGCAAAGAAAGTGACAGCAAAAATCCTTGTCACCCTCTCTCCTCTCCCTTAGTCTTTCAATCTAGGCCTCGTTCTTAGATGGGGGTTGAGCCAAAGCCCAAAACAAAAATGTTCATTGTTGACCCTGAAGCTTCCAACTGGTCGCTGGGATTAAGGCCAATTTAAGGAATTTCAGGAGTAATTCTGAGCATGCTTAAATTTTTTTACAGTCAAATTGGAACTTACACAGCTATTCCTCACTGAAGCATGGAGCCCAAAGGACTTTAGTGATTATTTCTTACTTCCCCAAAGATAAGCTACTTACCATAATCTTAAAGCCCTCAAAGATCAGACCGTCAAACCTCAGAGGGAAGGTAGGGGAGGGTGAGGGTAAGGGGTAGAGATCAACTAAAGGACTTGTATGCATGCATATAAGCCTAACCAATGGACACAGACATCAGGGGGGTGAGGGCATGGTGGGGGGGGGGGGGAGTAGGGGACAATGGGGAGATAAGGAGACATATGTAATACCTTAATCAATAAAGAAAAAAAGAGACAGTGTCAAATGATCTATTCTGTCTATACATTATCTAGAAGTACTTCCATGAGGACCCAGCTAACTTCATAATTATCTTACTGGCCTGGCCCTAAATCGAACTGCTAAAACCTGCAGAGAAAGAACTTGTAATGAAGCAAAACACTTTTACTTTGTGAACCACACTGGGTAATTTCTACTTTCTTTATCTGACAAGAGGAAAACTGATGCCAAGGAGGATGAAAATCTAAAGACATTCTCCCACCAACTGCCAACTTGAAATGTTAGAGCTTTTATATTAAGGATTTAAACAATCTGTGGACGCAAATGAGTACTCCTCTTAAAGCTGTTAGCTCTTCCTCTCCCCCTCCCGCCTCCAACCAGCTGGGGGAATTCTGTAATGCTTCCAGCTGCTTCTCTTTATGGATCCTGCAGATCATCAGGAGGGCCTGGGAGTGAGGCTCCTCAACTGAGGCCGGGTGTGACCAGCAGTGGACAGACATGGGCCACGATTTCAAATCCAGTCATTGCCAGGTGGTCAAGGTGCACACGTACAGGTTCCTTAACTGCTGAACCTCAGTTTCCTCCTCTGTAAAAGGGGTACCATACCTACCTCCCAGAGTTCATTCATTCATTCAACAAATACTTACTGAACAGCTGCTATGTGCCACGCACTGGGAATTAAAAGTTAACCACATACAGACGGGTTCTGCCCTCGGAGGACGTATACTTCAGGGGGAAAGAAACAGACCAACACAAAAATAAACAAACAAAAAAACACCCAAGGTATCTTTACAGGCATTCCTTACATATTACAGGCATGAGACAGAATCAGGGCTGTCCTTTCTCTGGAACACTCTGAACAAGCAATATTTAAGTGAGACCTGAGGGATGAGAGGAACCCGCAGGGGTGGGGTGAAGCGGTATTCCAAGGAAAGGAAACCCAACCTGCAAAGGCCAGGAGGCGGAACGAGGCTGTAATCAATGCAAGAGCAGAGGGAAGGACTTGGGCAAGGAGTACAATGGCCCAGGATGAAGGGGGTGGGGAAAGGGAGGAGCAAGGCGTGTTCAAGACACCGGATTTTATTTTAAGAACAAAGGGGCGCCACTGGGAGGGTTTTAATAAGCAGGGGAGCTCCTTGGTCCAACTGACCCCTTAAAAAGTATTCCGTTCCTTGCAAGTCTGGGTGGGGAATGGTTTGGAGGGAGACGGAAGTCGAAGTGAAGGGGCAGCCGCATGGGATCGGGATGCAGACTGATGCAGGCGGTGGGGATGGAGCGAGGGGGTTCGGGGTACGTTTGGGAAGTAATGACAGCTGCTGACTTTTCTGCGCTTTCCCCGGGCCAGGCACAATCCGCAGCGCCTCACCAGGGACTAACTCATTTCCCTCTCACACGTCTACGCCGAGTACCACGACGGGTCCCATTTGTGGAGAAACTGAGCCCAGAAGGGTTACGTGCCTGGCGTCGGGGGAACGCGCGCGCCACGTGCCCAGCTGTCACTCCTAACAGCCGAGACCACCCACGCACTCCGTGGAGCGGGGGGACAAGAACCCGCGCGGGGGGGGGGGGGCCCTCCCCGCAGGACTCGGGTCGCAGCGCCTGCCGCTCGCGCCCAAGAGGTACAGTTACTGGAGGAAGTCGAGGCCCTGCAGGGGCCCTACCTCGTGTCTTTACGGGATGCTCCGCTTCCAGCCCCGCCGCGCACTCACGTCTTCCCGGGATCCGAGCGGCCCGCGCACCGCGACCCGGCCGGACGGAACAGGACCGCAGGTCCAGCGCCGGCAGCGTCCAGAGGCTCCCCAGCCCGCGGCCACTCGTTCGCGCCCCGCCACGGCCGCCGGCGCCTGCGCGCAGTTCAAACTCTACGGGACCAGCGCGCACCTCGCGGCTGCGGCTCGGCCCCTTCCACTTCCGGGACGCCCGCCGCTGGGTCCTAAAGGCCGCCGTGTCCACAGGGGCTGCCCGGGGCTCTCCCAGGAGGAGGCGAGGGAGACCTGGCTGCCTAGTCTTCGCTCACCTCCTGGCCACTCCTCTCAAACAAAAACAAAAAATCGGTGGGAGATAAAGAATTGTTACCTCCATCTTAATTAGCAAAACTCATCCTATTTACAAGGATTCTCACGGACAACCTGACTCCCAGGGCTGGAGGGTGGTGGTGGTGGTGGTGGTGGTGGTGGTGGTGGTGGTGGTGGTGGTGGTGGTGGTGGTGGTGGATAGATGTTCAAAGGCAGAGAGAGGACCAGCTGAGGTTCGAGGCAGCTGAGGGCTGAGACCTGTCCCCCGGGAGAAGCGGGCTTGCCTGGGGAGCACATTGTAAAACCTGTTGTGAAATAAAAAGTTAAATGAGCTCCCCTCGGACTGGGACTCGAATGACTGTTTCTTAGTTGAAACTCGGGCTCGAATGCCGTGCTTGTGTGCCTGTGTGTGTGTGTATGTGTGTGTGTGTCGTTTTTAATCTTTCTGATTTGCCAGAAGAGAAGGATGTACGATAAACGCCTTTGCAAAACGCAACCCTCTCCACATTCCGTGTCTTTAATAAGGATGTTTGCTCTGGAATTTGGGCTCAGTGCTGTTTATGCTACTTATTCTCGCAGTTTCTTTCCTATCAAGCTCCTCCGCCTGGGGACTGAATGAAGTGACTTGCGTAAATGTGCTCAGGGTTCACTCGGTTCGTCTGCTTTGCGCCAGGCATCGTGCTGGGTGCTGGGGCTACCGAGAGGGCACCACTGATCCAGGCGGGCTCGACCCCCGTGACTTGCTGATGTGCACGCGAATCCTGGACTTGGTTCTTTTTGTTTCGTTCCTGCTATGCTTTGTTCACACTCACTCCTTTTGTGTCTCGTGATAGTTAGCACAATGCTGTAGATCAAAATTACCAACAGTCATTTATTGCGAGGTGTGGGGGCCGAGAATGAGAAGAATCATTGAAGCAGCACCCGGGAGAGCTAGCTCTCCAGCGGCGTCCGTGGAGTTAAGGGGGCCAGACTGGGCGGGGCCTAGCGCCGGGGGGCGGGCCTGGGAGCCTCTCCGCCATAGGCTGCTCCGGGGAAACGTTATAAACAAAGCGTTTGGCCAATAGAACTGCGGGACGGGCCGTCCAATGGGAGAAGACATTGGAGGTGCCCGGCCACTTTCAGCTTCCAGATCCGCAGTGTGTGCGGCGGGTGGTCTGCAGCTCTGACTCCTGAGGTCGCTGCTTTGACGGTCGCGATGTTTTTCTCCGACGCCGGGGCCCGGCCACGCACGTGGGAAGCCAGCCCTTCGGAACACAAGAAATGGGTGGAAGTAGGTGTCTCGGATTTTAACTTGATTCGGAACTCCCACTTGGGTCTGACCGAGCCGCGGTGCAAAGGGACATTGTTAATGACTGAGCCGAAGGCTGCACGGCTCGGCCTCCAGTCCTGGGTTCTGGCTGCTTGTCCGTCCTTTTTCCGTCTCCGCTACACAGTCCATTAAGTCATCTGCATCTCTCCTCCCGCCTTTCAAAGCAAGCCCCTTTGACTCACCTTCCTGATTCTAGGACCGAATGTTGGGTTGAAATTATCCTAAGAGTCTAAAGGAATTAACTTGTGTCAGTTTAGCGATTAAGTCGTTGGAACTCTGGAGGGGCATATTTTAGCCCAATCATTAAGATTTCTGGAGAATTAAAAGTAGGATAATGAGCCCTGACTGGTTTGGCTCAGTGGATAGAGCGCCGGGCCTGCGGACTGAAGGGTCCCAGGTTCGATTCTGGTCAAGGGCATGTACCTTGGTTGCAGACATAACCCCAGTGGGGGCGTGCAGGAGGCAGCTGATCGATGTTTCCCTCTCATCGATGTTTCTAACTCTCTATCCCTCTCCCTTCCTCTCTGTAAAAAAATCAATAAAAATATATTTTTAAAAAATAAAAGTAGGATAATGAAACTCCATTTCCGAGCCTACTGGTGGGCCGAGTTTTAGATTTTGAACGTTCAAATGTAATATAAGCTGGTAATAAAAATAATAGAACAAACGGTTTTGGTCTGAACTACAGATATTTAATGTTTAGGTATTCAAAGCATGTGATGAAGATAACAAAGGCTATCTAAGCAGAGAGGACTTCAAAGTTGCGGTTGTAATGCTGTTTGGATACAAGCCCTCCAAGGTACAGCTTTCTTTATTTGGGGGTGGGGCTGACAATAGAATGATCCTACTGGTGAATGGATCCTAATGGTTATGCCTATGATGTTTATAAAATTAATTGCTGTCTTCTAAGCAGTTTCAGAGATGTGCCCAGTGCTGAATTTTACTTTTTTCTTCAGAACCCAATTCAGGGATGAATTAGAAGCTATCTCACCACCAGACTGCTAATTATTATAATAAATATGAGATGCTAGAAAGGTGTGAAGAGGGAAGGCTGGCAGGGGTGGTGTTGGTAATAGGAATTCACAGAGGAAGTAACATGCAGGTTGGTTTTGAAATTTAAAAAATATTTTTGTTTGTTTAAATTATAAAAGTAATACATGGCCCCGGCCAGCATGGTTCAGTGGTTAAGCTTTGACCTATGAACCAGGGGGTCACGGTTGGATTCCCGGTCAGGGCACATGCCTGGCTTGCAGGCTCAATTTCCTCTGTGGAGCGAGCGTGCAGGAGGCAGCCGATCAATGATTCTATCTCATCATTGATGTTTCTCTCTCTCTCTCACTCTCACTCTCGGAATTCAATTTTTAAAAAAATAATACATGAACAACTAAAAAATTCAAACAGTGCAGAACAGTGTAAAGATGAATGTAAAATCCCCTTTCTCCTGTGGAGGAGAAAGAGACCACATGCTAACCTGACAAGCTCAGGGAAGGCCTGGTCTTGCAAACTCAAAGACCTAACGCCGTGGTTGGCAAGCCGCGGCTTGCGAGCCACATACGGCTCTTCGGCCCCTTGAGTGTGGCTCTTCCACAAAATACCACGTGCGGGTGCGCACGTACAGTGCGATTGAAACTTCGTGGCCCATGCGCAGAAGTCGGTATTTTGTGGAAGAGCCACACTGAAGGGGCCAAAGAGCCATATGTGGCTCTCGAGCCGCGGTTTGCCGAGCCGCGGTGTGCCGAGCCTCAGTTTACTGACCACTGATCCTAACGTAACCACAAAGGATGGTCTGAAATTAAAACTTCAAGTAAAAGCAGTTTATAGTAGATACTCACTTCCTAAGCCTGACAAAGGTCAGTCTTTACCTTGACTGAGCCTATTTCTTTTTCATCTAAAATAACATACCTGTGAAATGTCAGGGTAACTTGTAACTTCCCTTTTTCTGGACCCCTTGGGCCACAACCAAAGGCATGAGGGCTCCTGGACACAGATCACAAATCCCTTCATTGTTATTGAGTTAATTGTTGACTGTTAACTATCCTACACCCACCTAAGTAAAAGAAGTAAGTGCCTGTAATTTTACTTTTTATCCAATCGCAGAGGGTTTCCCCTCATCCTTTGATTTTAATATAAAACAAGGTTAATAACTGTCATTCTCCAGAGCATTATCCTAATACGTTGAGATTCTGCTTCACAGCAATTGTCAACAGTTTGGCTCAAATAAACTCACAAAAATTGTTTGCAGGTTTGAATGTTGTGTGTGTGTGTGTGTGTTTACATTAACACTCCCTACTAGAGGGTCCCACTCTTAGGGGTTACCATTATTAAGTTTCTTGTGTATCATTCCAAGATTTTCTATGCAGGACCAACATATATATGCATAGCAGTCTTTGAAAACATAACTTTCTTTTAAGTCTTATCAATAGTTGAACATAAAAGCACACACCATCACCACATTTTTTAAAAAAGTTGCATAGTATTTTCATTAGCCAGTTTCCTGTTTTTGGTCATTTAGATTCTTTCCCTTGTTTTTCGTTCCTACAAACATTGCTGCTCTGAGCATCCTTTTATATCTATATCTGTGCTTGTGGATGCACATCTGTGGGATAAATTCCCAGAAGTACAATTCCTAGGTACATTTGAAATTCTGTTGGATATTAGTCTCCAGGAAAGGTTGCATTAATTCACGAATAATAAGGGCTGAGCTGAATTTCAATGAATCTCCTACTCTAGCAGGGCAAGTTTCCTATCCTTCCCCACCCCAATCTTTTTTTTTTAAATTTAAAATATATTTTTATTTATTTTTTTATTGATTTCAGAGAAGAAGGGAGACGAGAGAGAGAGAGAGAGAGAGAGAGAGAAACATCAGTGATGAGAGAGAATCATTGATCAGCTGCCTCCTGCACACCCCCCACTGGGGATCAAGCCTGCAACCCGGGCATGTGCCCTGACTGGGAATTGAGCCATGACCTCCTGGTTCATAGGTCGACACTCAACCACTGAGTCACATCAGCGGGGTTCCCACCCCCCCTCTTTGTGCTGCTCCTCTTACCTATTACATCACATTCTAGAAATGAATTCTTTTTTTTTTTTTTTTAAATTTTATTGATTTTTTACAGAGAGGAAGGGAGAGGGACAGAGAGTTAGAAACAACGAGAGAGAAACATCGATCAGCTGCCTCCTGCACACTCCTCACTGGGGATGTGCCCGCAACCAGGGTACATGCCCTTGACCGGAATCGAACCCGGGACCCTTCAGTCCGCAGGCTGACGCTCTATCCACTGAGCCAAACCGGTCAGGCTAGAAATGAATTCTTGTTAAGCTGCTGAACTGGAATTAATCAGAGACAAGACCTTGTCCAGGATTAACACATTTCACTGCAGTCATCAAGCAGAGGGACACTCAGGACTCTGCCTGAACTCTCCGTCATAGCCATGTGAGACCAAACAGCTTAGCAATCTGTGACCCACTGTTGCTCATGAGTGGCACTACCTGTCAGATTGCAAGCTCAGTGAGGCCAGGGACCATGT